TTTTTTTTTTTTTTTTTTTACGACAACCCTAAATCTGATTAGGTGTTAGCCTTTCATGCTTTCGGCACACGTTTTGACCCCGTGGGGGTAACGAAGTGCTGCCGAAATTTTCTGATTTTCTCTTACTTAGTCTTTTCGGCACACTTCGACCCCATGGGGGTAACGAAATGCTGCCAAAAGTTTGAAAAATCAGATAACCCATTTCTCTCCACCTCCTCACACACTTATTTACTTATTTATTTATTTATTTATTATTTCTTTATTATATCTTTATTTATTTATTATTTCTTTATTTATTTTCTGAAATTTCTTTTATTATTTGCGACATCTCTAGTGTGCTCACCTTGGTCTCTTCTTTTCCCTTGGCACATTCTTGACCCCGTGGGGGGTAGGGAAATGCTGCCGAAAATTTCAAAAAAATAAAAATTGTTTTCCCTTTCCATCTTTTACTTATTTTTTTTATTATTTTTATTATTTATTTATTTCCTTACTTATTTTTATTTTCTCTCGAAATCTCGCTGTTTATTTATTTTTTTCCCGCCTTCCCCCCCTATGCTTGCTCTTTTACTTTCTTGATTAGGTCATCAGTACCCTAGCCTAACCACTTAAACCTCGGTTAGGGTTTTCCTTAGGGTTTTTGTAGGGTTTAGGGTTCCTAAAAACCTCCCTACTTCCCCGTCCTCTTCGAGCACCCTGGACCCGAACCACCCCTCCCCCTTTGACGGCGTCCGCGCTAGCCTTGCTAGCGCCGTTCGCCGCTTTCTACCGCGGACTTCCCCCTACGCCCTCCGCTCACGCGGACCTCTTCTGGCCCCTTCCAGTCCCGTCCGTCATCTCCCCATGGCTGACGGTGTGTCACACGCCGCCGACACGGCGATGACCACGGCATCGGGCTCCACACCCGTGCCGGCGGACCAGGGCCATCAGCCCCAGGGGGATCTACACACCCTCCTCACCTCCTTCCTGGCGCCCATCCAGGCGCAACTCGCGACCCTTGCGCTCATGCAGGCGCAACTCGCGACCCTCGCGCCCTTACAGGCGCAGGTGGCGACCCTCGCCGCTAGCGTGCGGCAACTCCAAGACACTGGTCGTCCTTCCTCTCCTCACCCTATCGCTTCTCCTGGCTCCCAGTCCGGGTCCCCCGCCTTCCGACAGGGTGACCACGATGGAGCTTCCTCCTCCGCTGCCCCCGACCCGGCCATCTTGGTGACCGTCCACGCACCTAGCACGACGACCGCCACGAGTCAGGCCCTCCCTCAGTCCACGGGCGCACCCGCCCAGATTCCGGTCACGACGGCCACGGGACCACAACCCGCTACCATGGTCTCAGCTTTTCCGGGTGCCCCACTTCTCCCCCCTCTTCGCACGACCGCAGCGCCATCTAACTCTCCCCCTTGTGGGATGCCTCGCGCCGCTCGTGCGTCTCCCCCTGCCACAACTCGCTTGACCTACGTTCGAGGTCTCGAAGACGAGATCGCCCATCTCCGGACCGACCTTGCCCTCTCACGCCTTCAGCCACCCCCACCCTCACAGGTGGCCGCGCCTTCCGGTGCACCCCCCTCTTCCTCTATTCTTCCTTCCATGCAGGCTCGTTTCCCTCGCCCTGCACCCTACCAATCTCCATCCTACCTCCTCCCCATCCCCTCGGTTGCCGCGACCTCTTCTACCGCAGCTCCCGTGCAGCCTGCCGCTGCTTCCCCCTCCGCTCCACCATGCGGCCCGGGCGTACAGTCAGTTGTGCCTCCTCCTCCAGGACTTGCGTCGACTTATTATGCCGTAGCGCAGTCCCCTGCTTCCTGTTCCCCTCGCCGCCAAAACGGTGGCGCACCACTCATCCGCTTGTCGGACATTCCCTTGTATGACGGTACAGGCATACGCGTGTCTAGGTGGCTGCAGGCTGCCACCCGCACGCTCCAGCTCATGGGCGCCACACCCGACACATGGGTGGGTCACCTCTCCACGCGCCTGGGTGGTGCTCCTTTCAACGCCTGGGAGGATTTCTATGCTTACTCCCTGCATGAGGGTCGGACTCCGACCTTCATGGATTTCCAGGCGTTCCTCGAGGATCGCTTCGGAACCCGATATGACGTGACTGACGCCTTCGAGCGTGTCGTCACTACACACTGGTCCGGCTCTGATGGCGCTGCCGGCCTGGATCGCCACATCCAGGTCTTTCAGGACGCCCGCCTCGTTTGTAACGTGGCGTTCCTTCCCGAGGCTGCCCTTATCGATCGTTTCTTGGCCAGCCTCCCGCTCGAGTACCGCCCTGAGCTATGGCGGTACGAGTTCACATCGGCCCCGCAGGCTTACGAGGCCGCCAGGAACCATGAGCAAATGCGAGCCCGTCTTCACCCCGCCTCCTCCTCCCAGCCTCAGCGCACGGGTTACACTTCCTCCTTCTCTCACGGCACTTCCCAGCGCCGTTCCCCTTTCCGTGGTCGCCCCCGCCGTTCCGCGCGGCAGGGCCACCACTTCTTTTGCCGCTTCAGCGCGCTCGAGTATGGTGAGCAGGACGCTGGTGCCCCGCAGTCGCCAGAGGGTGATCATAGCGATGGCCTCGACCTCGGCGATGCCGTCCAGCACCACCTGGAGGATCTTACTCTCCCTATGGCTGAGCGCCTCCAGCTCATCCTTTCCACCCTTTCCCGGGCACGCAGCCGCCCTGGTCACGCTAGCGCGTCGCCCCCCGAGGTCCCTCAACAGGACCTCCCTCAGGGCTTTGTTCCTCCTCGCGGTGTCCTTTCCGCTGAGGAGCGCGCGGCTATTTTGGGCCGACGTGGGTGTTTGCGCTGCCGCTTGGACGGTCATACCTCCTCGCGGTGCCCTTACACTACCGCCCTCGACCGCCACTACGCTGACCTTTCCCGCCAGCGTCGTGCTCAGTCCCCCCCCGGTGCCTCGCATCCCCGCGGCACCTCCTAGTCACGGTGCAGTGTACACCTGCGCCATCCTCAGTAGTGGGTTTCCCGACATCTCCGTCGCGGTTCGCCCCTCTCGCTACAGGAGTTGAGGTATCGCAGGACTCGACAGAGTGTACTCAGCACTCTGTCGCAGTACCATCTGCGCCTCCGCAGACCACCGTCTCCCCTCCTTCCCCGCCACGACTACCGACGCGTCGAGCCATTCGCTCAACCCGTTGCAGCGAGCAGCTCGCTACTCGCGAGGACGTCGTGTCCTCTCTTCTGGACTTCAGCATGCTCCAGGCTCGTCAGGAGCGATTCACCCTCCATGTCGCTTTACTGCGTCGCCTTCTCGCCATCCTCTCTGACCTTGATCGCACCCTCCCGATCATCCCAGTACGACTCGGGACCTCCACGAGGGTGTACTCAGCGCTGTGGGATTCTGGTTCTCGGGGCGACTTCATTCACCCACGCGTGGTGAAAGAAGCCCGCTTACCCACGACAGGGTCTCCGACTCCCATCTCCGTTACCCTAGGGGATGACAAGACCCAGCGCTTCTTCGATCAGACGGTCACCGACCTCCCTTTCTTCCTCACTCTCGAGCCGACTGATCGTTCTCCGACGTCTCGTCGCCACCGCTCCTCTGCACATTTCGATGTGATGGAGACGGGGTACGACTTCATTCTCGGCACTCCGTGGTCTCGTCGGTTCCGCAGCACCGAGGCCGATTGGGCGACCAACACTCTCGTTCTCAAAACGAAGTGTGGACAGACGTATCGCGTACCTTTCATAGGTACCACCGCGACACCACGCCCCGATGCTCCTCCCCCGGAGTCTTCCGTGCCCACACCATCTCCTTCTATCATTGTCACCTCGCCTCGGCAGTTCGCCCACTTCATCCGACAGGACAACGTCACCTTCTTTATGGTGAACGTGACGGATCTCTTATACTATGATCCACCCTGTCCCGACGCCGAGCTCATCCCTCTAGAGCCAGATCCTCCTTCTATCTCCATGGCTCCCATCTCTACTTCCGTCCCTCCGCCGTCCGTCGAGTCCACTCCGTCGTCGCACGCTGACGCTGACGCTGAAGAACTCGCACGATATACGGCTGACCTGGAGCCCGCAGTTCGTGACCTCATCCGAGAGTACCACGACGTTTTTCCATCATCATTCTCGTACGCCGGCATCCCACCGATGCGTGACGTCGAGCACTCCATTCAGCTTGTGCCTGACTATCGTGTTCACCACCAGGCACCCTACTAACTCTCGATTCCCGAGGCCACCGAACTCAAGCGTCAGCTTGAGGAGCTCCTGAGACTGGGTTTCATTAAACCCAGCAACTCCCCGTGGGGTGCACCCGTTCTCTTTGCTCGCAAAGCGGATGGAACCCTTTGTCTCTGCATCGACTATCGCGGCCTCAACCGCTACACGGTTAAGAACAGCTACCCCATGCCTCGTTCCGATGAGTTGTTCGACCGCCTAGCAGGCAACCGCTTCTTTACGAAGATTGATCTTTGTAGAGGTTACCATCAGATCCGCGTCGCTGCCGCCGACCAGCCGAAGACAGCGTTCCGATCGCGCTTCGGTTACTACGAGTTTACGGTGATGCCATTCGGCCTCACCAATGCACCCGCTACCTTCCAGAGGGCGATGAACGACATCTTCAGGGACATCCTGGAACAGTACGTTCTCGTCTACCTCGACGATATCCTGGTCTACAGTCGYACCCTTGAGGAGCACCTCAGACACCTCCGCGACGTCCTTGACCGCTTGCGCAGACATGGCTTCTACGCCAAGCTGAGCAAGTGCCGCTTTGCCCAGCACAAAGTGGACTTCTTAGGACATTACGTGTCTGACCAGGGTCTCCACATGGACGACGCGAAGATCACTGCTATTGCAGAGTGGCCCGCTCCCACATCCGCCAAGCAGCTTCGCAACTTCCTAGGCCTGACCAACTACTATAGTAACTTCATCCGGGGATACGCTAGGTATTCCTACGTCCTTACCTCCACCCTCCTCCGGAAGAACACACCCTGGGCTTGGACACCCCTCCACGAGGACGCCTTCTGCGCCCTCAAAAAGGCGGTGACATGCGCACCGGTTCTTCACCTACCCGATTTTGATCGCCCTTTTATCCTTACCACCGATGCATCAGACTTTGCTGTAGGAGCAGTGCTTTCTCAGGTCTTCCCCTCCTCTCCTGATTCCTCTCATCCTCGTATCCCTCGCTTCCCACCACCTACCCCTACCACTGCTTCCCGACTGACGCCTACTCGTCCAGCTACTAACGAACCTTCTATTGAGTATTCTCCTACCATCGTCGAGTCTCGCTCAGGTGATTGTCCGATAACCTTCTACTCCCGTCAGCTCCTGCCCGCTGAGATAAACTACACTGCTGATGAACATGAGGTTCTCGCAGTAGTTTATGCCGCTCGGCACTCGCGTTTCTACCTGCACGGGGCACCGTTCACGGTGCGTACGGACAACTCCGTTGTCAAGGCTTTTCTGACGAAACCGAAGCTCACTCCTCGACAGGCTCGCTGGTGGCGCGACCTATCCGAGTTTAGTTTYACCACTGAGCACATCAAGGGTGAGACTAACCGGGTCGCAGATGCTTTATCCCGGCGCCCTGACCACGATCAGGAGCAGATCCAACTCTCTTCCATCTCGGTCACCACCGTCCACCACTCGGTGATCGACGAGTTTCGCACTCAGTACCGCCACCACCCCGACTATCGCGACATCCACGCGACCCTTCGGAGTGGCGAGACCGTCCCGAACTACTCTCTCGAGGACAATGGTCTCGTGTACCGGCACGGTTCACAGGGCACCAGAGAGCCCCGTATTTGCGTTCCCTCCACTGGACAGCTACGTGTCCGAGCAGTAGCAGAGTTCCATGCCCAGGCAGCCGCTGGTCATATGGGCTTCCACAAGACGTTGGCTCGTGTGAGCCGCCTGTACGTCTGGCCGAAGTGCAAGGACTTTGTGAAGGACTACGTCGCAGAGTGTCCCACCTGTCAGGAGGTGAACAGTGCGAACCACCTGCCTTATGGTTTGCTCCAGCCTCTTCCTATCCTTGAGGGTCGTTGGCAGTCCATGTCGATGGACTTTATCGGTCCTCTTCGACCTCCGACCCCCCGCGGTTATGATGCTATCCTGGTCGTCGTCGACCGCTTCACGAAGCGTGCACGCTTTGTTCCGTGCCGCTATGCCATCAGTGCACGTGAGGTCGCCGACATCGTATTTGACCGAGTCGTGCGTGACCACGGCTTACCTCTGAGCATCATATCTGGCCGTGACCCGCGCTTTACCAGCCGATTCTGGCGACG